TGCTGCTGCTACGAAGAAGGCTTCCGAAAAGAAGAAAACCGAAAAAGCGAATGTGAAAAATATTAAGAAGGTAGGCACAGTGAAAGCCAAACCGACCAAAGCTGCTGTTAAAGCGACCGCAACCAAACCGAAGGCACCAAAAGCGAAAACAACAACAACTGCAAAACCTAAAAAAGCAACTACAACTGTCGCTGCTAAAAAAACAACCATGAAGAAAATTGCTGTCGGCAAAAAGTAAATTTCTATTTCCATATGAAATGGAAATGAAACAAAAGCCCTTTTTAGGGCTACAAATTCTCTTTTAAAGAGATTGAATTTACATGCATTTACATTTATATATATATATATATGCTCTCTTTTGCGAGAGAAAAATGGCGCAATTTTATTTAAAGAAAAAAATATATACAATGGCATAAAAAAGAAATCTAACAATGCACAACAAACCAAGTCTTTATTTATTCTTATTTTCTGTCTCCCTCTTCCTCATTGATTTTGTCTTTCTATTTCGATTTCTTTCGAGAAAACATCCAACAATTCATTCTATCTCTTTTAAGTGAAATTGATTAGGTGGCCCTTAAAAGGGCCGATTTTTGTTTTCTTCTCCTAAATTATTTATTTCGAGCTGGTGTATTTGGTGACTGCTTTTGTTCCCTCACTGACAGCATGTTTAGCCAATTCGCCTGGCAATAAAAGACGAACGGCAGTTTGAATTTCCCGACTTGTAATAGTTGAACGTTTATTATAATGAGCTAAACGAGATGCTTCGGCAGCGATACGTTCAAAAATGTCATTAACGAAACTATTCATTATACTCATCGCCTTTGATGAAATGCCAGTATCGGGATGAACTTGTTTCAGCACTTTATAAATATAGATGGCGTAGCTCTCCTTCCTCTTACGCTTCTTCTGCTTATCATTTTTCGTAATATTTTTCTGAGCTTTTCCCGCCTTTTTAGCTGCTTTACCACTGGTTTTTGGCGGCATTTTCACTTCACTTTGCTTTTTTGTTTACTTCGTTTTAGATTTCACAAACACTATATGCACTGTTCACACACAATCTGTAAAATTTTCATACAAATGTGCCGCTTAAGTGCTCTTTTATTAACCAATACTTCAGCTATAGAGCGTACATCGGCTACATTCGGAAATATAATACACGAAGGAGATATGTTTGCGAGTGTTTCGTTCGAGAAAAAGTATAAATACAGCGTTTATTGCATACAATTCTCAATAATCGTGCGTGTGTGCTCAGTGAAGTGTTGTGAAGTAAAAGAAAAGTGAGAGAAAAAAAAAACAAGATAAACATGTCTGGTCGTGGTAAAGGTGGTAAAGCTAAAGGCAAATCAAAATCGCGCTCAAATCGTGCTGGTTTACAATTCCCTGTCGGTCGTATTCATCGTTTATTGAGAAAAGGCAATTATGCTGAACGAGTTGGTGCGGGTGCTCCCGTTTATTTGGCAGCAGTTATGGAATATTTAGCAGCTGAAGTTTTAGAATTAGCTGGAAATGCTGCTCGTGATAATAAGAAGACTAGAATTATTCCACGTCATTTGCAGCTGGCCATCCGTAATGATGAAGAATTGAATAAACTTCTATCCGGTGTAACAATTGCTCAAGGTGGCGTGCTACCAAATATTCAGGCAGTGCTCTTGCCTAAGAAGACTGAGAAGAAGGCCTAAACAAATAATACATCATACATCATAAAACAAAGCAATCCGTCCTTTTCAGGACGACGAAATATTTTAAAAAATGAGATATATATACATGTGTCTTTTTATTGAAACGAATAGTTTTTTATTTCATACATAAATATATTCTTGGATGTATTTTGGATGGATATTTTCAAACTTTGTATGGCTGCTATGTAAAACCACGATATTAAATTGTTCTGAACATGTTTATTTTACTTTTAAAATTTATATATCCAGATAATATTCATTCATTCTCCATATTTGCTTGGCCGTCACGAGATCAACTTTTTCTCTTTTAAAAGAAATTATAGCAAAATTGCTTTCTTTTGTTTTTTTATTAAAAGCGAAAATATTAAAAAAATTTAGTAATCTTCCTTTTACTGTTTTCAAACAAATAAATTCATGTCATAATATATGTGTAAAAACATATCTCCTTTTTATTATATTCGTGGCCCTGAAAAGGACCGATTGTTTTTATTTTTTCAATTTCTCGCAATTTAACCGCCAAAACCATATAAGGTGCGGCCTTGTCTCTTCAAAGCATAAACGACATCCATTGCTGTAACTGTTTTTCGCTTAGCATGCTCAGTATATGTGACAGCATCGCGAATAACATTTTCTAAGAAAACCTTCAATACACCACGGGTTTCTTCATAAATCAAGCCAGAGATACGTTTCACACCGCCACGACGAGCCAAACGCCTGATAGCCGGTTTTGTGATACCTTGAATATTATCACGCAACACTTTACGATGACGTTTAGCACCACCTTTTCCTAAGCCTTTACCACCTTTGCCACGTCCAGTCATTTTTTCTTATTTTTCACTTTGCACTTATTCACACAAAACACGTTAGAAACACTGATGCCGTTCGCCTCAAACACGCCAGTATTTATACAAATTTCAACGCAACTCAACACAAAACAAACGTTGTGCATACACACATGCACCCATGCATTGTATAGAAGCACTTCGTTAAAACACGACGTACGACGCACGAAGACACGATGTGTTATTTATTTTTATTATGTATAACAGCAGCAGTAGTTGTAGTAGTAGTAGTAGTGGCTTTGCTGTAAATTTTTCTATATAAGCAAGGCATAAGCCCGCAAAAATGTAATAGTGAAGTGATCAGTGCTAAGTGTTTAGTGTTCAGTGTTCAGTGCTCTAAATATCTTGTTTGTGAAAATTAAATTGGTTCCAGCTGTGAAGGAAGAAGAAGAAAATAAAAAAAAATGGCTCGTACAAAGCAAACTGCTCGTAAATCGACTGGCGGTAAGGCACCACGTAAACAACTAGCCACAAAAGCTGCTCGGAAAAGCGCTCCAGCTACTGGTGGTGTTAAGAA